ACCCATTGTATTCATGTAATTAACTGGCCTTCATGTAGTCCAGATTTAAATCCCATAGAAAATTTATGGGGGATTTTAGAATCCATTGTTTATCAAAATGGGAAACAATATGAATCTGTAAATCAATTGAAAATTGCAATAATTAATATGTGGGATGAAATTAAGGATGAAGAACTAAAAAAAATAATAAACTACATGCCTAACAGAATTTTTCAAGTAATTATAGCCATAGGGGGTGAAATCAAACACTAAAAGTGTTAAAAATAATTTTTAAATATATTTTAATGTAATTTTAGAAAGTGTGCCTATACTTTTGTAATACACCAAAAAATGAATATTTGTGAAAAATAAATTTACGCTGCTTTATGAAATGTAAAAANGCCGGAACTCGGGACCGTGGTTTATTTTGCTTGCCATCAATGAAGTTTACAAGGGAAGAATAATCCAAGTAGTTTCCCGTTGCTTTCTTGGATCACAATTTAGTTGAGAAGGTCGTGTGTGGACCTTTTTAGATACACTAACGACTAAACAAAACAAAAACAAAAACAAAACGTTATATAACTAAGGCTATACTCACAAATAAAAAAAAACGTCAAAAAGTGTTTTCTATAATTATAATTTTTTCAGTATTAACCAAATAACTTTAGTAAATCGAAACATCGTTTAAATTTTCATTTTCATTAAATAAATAGGGGCAAGTTTCTTTTAAAAAGACCTCCCGGAAGGCACTCCCTAGGCAGATCGCCCAAGTGTTTCGTTGCCATAATTAAACAAACATTAAAAGCTTAATTTTATAAATTTTTTCTGACAACAATGGTTCTAAATTTCCCGTTCAAAATGGTTTCATAAATATAAATGATGTCTTTGTCATGGATTAGGATACGAATAATGATTTACTCCTTTAAGCTGGCAATATGCAATACATTTAGCTCCTGTAGATACTAAAGGGAGTTGGAAATTTAGTGTAGTTGTGTTCTATAGAAGTTTCGCATCCGTATTCTAATCTTTGTCTTGCGGGCTTATTAAACTCTCGAGACCAAGATGACATATATTGTAACGCCTTAATAAGTTTATAATTATAATCAGGACCGTTTCGAATAAATTTGGGGTCTAAGAACAACGTCAATGTACTTAATTTCTATTGTATAAACATGACGTCTTTTAGTGTCACTTTCAATTTGGCACCTGAGGCAGTTTCCTCTATGCTTGATCTACCGTCACGGCCCTGCTTATGATGATGACATCAATAATAGCTTATAGCCATTATAAATTCGTCCTCGTCTGCAATGTGTAGCTGAATGGTGAGAGACTGATGTCAATGTATCTCGGTCAAACATCCATGAAACGTTTCGAATTGTACTCGAAACCGATCCCTCATAGTGGAAGTATCCGATATATTTACAGTCTTGGTATGTGGACGTCATATACAAAATTAGATAAATCCGTATTGTCGTCATCATGTATAAAATATTTATATATATATAAACATTTAGCGTGTCCTACATATCAAGTTTTAATAATGTTTTATGAAAAAAAAACCAAAGTTTCAAAGAGCTTCTAAGAAAGTAATATTTCTCTAAACTTCAATTTTAAAAAGTTTTCAGAGATTCTTTGTCCTATTTTTTCCAACACAACGTTACAATGATTTACTTAACCGATGATTAAGGTCGGTTTTATATTGGACAATCTATCGGATTGGATTGATAAAATAAGGCAATGCAACCGCATGGGCGATATACCAAGGAGGGGTGCATTCTAGGAGGACTTCGTATAGGAAACTTTCTCCAGTTAAGATGTTACATGAAGAAAACTAGAAAAACTACACCTGTCGAGCCCATTGGTCAGGTGCAACTAGCAATGTTTAGTGTTTTATGGACACCCTGTATCATCAAATATATCTTTTATTACAATACATTGAATATATCTACTAGATCAGTGGTTCTCAACCTTTTTTGTTGATGTACCCCTTTAGCCCATTAGTTGTTTCTCAAGTACCCCTTATATTTTTGTATGTAAATTTTATAATTATTACGTTACAGCCCTTATAACTGAGCACCATAAAAAACTGACTAAATAACTATAACTAAAAGTGAATTACTTATTTCACGTAAATAATAATAAATTTAATCCGGTACATACATTTATTTATTATTATTTGGCAAGTATGTTATATAAANGAAAATTGCAATAATTAATATGTGGGATGAAATTAAGGATGAAGAACTAAAAAAAATAATAAACTACATGCCTAACAGAATTTTTCAAGTAATTATAGCCATAGGGGGTGAAATCAAACACTAAAAGTGTTTAAAATATATTTAAAAATTATTTTTATGTAATTTTAGAAAGTGTGCCTATACTTTTGTAATACACCAAAAAATGAATATTTGTGAAAAATAAATTTACGCTGCTTTATGAAATGTAAAAAACCTGATAAAATAATGATAGAAAATAATTAGTAATATTTCCAGTAATAATTTCAAAATAAATTTTGAAAAAACACAAAATTTGTGATGTTTTTATACTTTTGTAACAGACTATGTATGCAATGTTATGATTAAACTGCTTAGATTTAAAAACTATTTAAGAATTTATCATCTTCATGCTACATTTAAAAATTTTTATCAATTTGTAAGACTTATCAGACCAGTTTTCAATTTTAAAGTTCACTTAGATTTTACTAAACCATTTTATTTTTGGTTTAATAAAATCTCAGAGTATCTGAGCAAAACTGTGATGAGTAAATGCTCAGGCTTGTATTTAATCAATTGATATGAATTCGAAAGATTATTCTGTAGTGAAAAGACTTGTTTTATATATACAGTGTTTATAAGGGCTTTACAGGATGTAAAGCCATTATAAGCCCACTAACCGACAAACACAGACAGCCACAGTTATAAATATATTGTATAATTATAGTAAAGTGACTACAAAATTAGACTGCTAGCAGTAAAAGTCAGAAGTTGGCACTTCTATCTCAAAAACAATGCACGATATGAGGAAAAAAGTCAATTACAAAGTTGTTGGGCATAATGAATTTTGTACAAAAGGACACTTTGCATACATGAATGTGATTAGAAAGCATAAAATGCTAATGTTTCTTGACAGTAAAGTATGTATTTCTCATGTGTTTATAATTTGTGTATTTTTCATTTTTCTTTGCCTTTGTGTTGATTGTTTTTGTGTGTTTTCTATTTTACACTGCTCATATGTGTCAGTGAATAAGAACTTTATTATGCACCCTGTACATACAAATTCTAGAAAGATGATATTCTGTTAGCTTGATAAAATTGTAACAAGTTAAATTAAATTTTAAATTTTTATTCTTATTTTTCTATTGTGTAATGTACGTAACAGTGTGCCATTGTAGGTTTATTGACTACAGTAGAGCGTCGTTTATCTGAATCAATTGGGGACTGGGGTTGTTCGGATAACTTATTTTTCAGATAATCGATTATGTACGAAAAAAATATATTAACCTGTCCCGTGTTGAAATTTTTCTCCGATGTGTGTCGCTTCACGTTGAATTTTTGTCAATGTTAAGCCTAGCGTAAACTTTTTAAAATAATAGTCGTGGCTATTGTATCGTTAAAAATGATTTCTTTGTTTTACAAACGAAATAAATACATTGAAAAATATAAAAACAAATAAAAATTATGCTTTAGGCCAACTGGAGTTCTTTCAGATAACCGACGTTTCAGATAAATGATGCTCTACTATATTAAACATTTGTTGACCAGTAAAATTAAGTCTTAAACTAATTAGTCTGGAAATGAAGATTGAGCAGAGATTTGCAGCGTAACTGATAGCACCTGTACTATGGTAAACAGGGAATGCAGATTTGAGTCTTGCTCTGCTTCATTCTTTTCTTCCAGAATAGTCTAAATTATTTATTTCTAATTATCAAATTTAACATTAGATGACAGATTAACCACTATTTCTAGTCAAAATTGCTTAGTATCTTAATAATTACCAGCTGTATTATAGCCTGATAAGATCCAGCTGTATTGTTTGATCATAATCTATGAATTTAGTGATTATAAATAGTTATTCATAACTGTTCAGTCTTTATTTCATATGCAGAGTGTTCATATAGAAGATCTATCAGTTTATTGAAAATCCCACTTTTACATTTCACCTAGATGCCCTTCTTTTTCTATGTTGTTGTCTGATCCAATGATCTACTTGATTGTATAGGACTATATAGCCCAATAAAGCTGACACATTGTTTGGTATTAAGAATTGGGTTATTCTATGTTTGTTCTTGTCCAAAATTAGGTCCTTGGCAAGCTGTTCATCACTCAGATCCCCTCAGCCACAGTAGACCAACCTTTTTTTCCAAAAGAATAAGCCTTTCCTCCATCCTTTACCACAAATTTGCTGCCCTTTGTCTACTGTGCCTAAAGAAACTAAGATATTAAACAATTTGGACTACAGATAGATGGTTAAACCTTCTTATTTAAAATTTATTGAGAATCTTCTAGAAGAAGTAATTGATCCAGAGAGAGACTTGAACTTGCAACTTCTACTTACTGTGTAGTTGTGCTTACAATTACTCTATTCCAACCTTTGCTTTCAGATTATTAGCACAATCTAGACTTAGTTTCTTTTATGGTTGGAATATTAAAGTTCTTTGATAACCCCAATATCTATTTCTTCTCTATATGTTCATGATGCATGCTTGCTCATCATGTCTGATATATTGATGTGCATTTACCAAGAGTGAAACGCATACATTTGTTTATGTAATTACATATGCTGTATGTAGAGCATATGTACATACATTTGTTTATGTAATTACATATGCTGTATGTAGAGCATATTTTATAAGTGACTGCATAACAAAATTAATCTTTGCTTATGTATAGAGACTTGATTCATTGTTCTTGTATCAGTGCTTGTTGTAGACAATTTGAACATCTCATTTAAGTTTAGTTTATTGTAAAAAATGATATGTTCCTCTATAATTGAAATTTAAATTAAGTGACTAATTTGTTTAGGTAATCACAGTTGTGTTCCAAATGCAGAAGCTACATTTCCATACAGCAATTTTGCTTTAGTAATGGAAGCCATCAGAGATATAGAACCTGGAGAGGTTAGTTCCAGATTTTTAACTTAGTAATTTTAATTTTTTAAGAAATTTTATTAGTTTAAATTTGTATTTTTTTAATTTACTTAACTATATATTTTTGATATTCAAAGTAATTTCTTATAATTTAATCACATTAAAATATGCATACAATTTACAAATGACTGGTATCATTCTGTGGGTGATAAAGTAGAGGTAGCTAGAATGAGTTTATCAATATAAATAAACTAACTATATAAATACCAGTGTGTTAATCACTATACATAGTGTAATTAACAGTATATTTCCATGGTGGTCAAACTATGGCTTGATAGCTGCAAGTGGCTCTTCTAGATTCTTACTGTGGCTTTTATGCACCATACACAATTTCTTTTTATAAACTTAAACTTATATATAATTAATATATATAGTGTTCTAATAGAGAATGCAACTCTTGTGTATTTCCAAGTGATATATGGCTTCTTGAACGACAAAGTTTCGTCACTCTGATATCGAATAATAGCTGCAGTTACATTTGTTGAAGTGCATGCTATGTTCTTGTTTTTTTATATTGAAGTTGGGGAGTTTTGTTATAGTCAAAAAAGTTTAGGTTCTTGGTGCACTTGTGCTTAGGAAAGCTATTCCTAAGCACAAGTGCACCAAGAAAGTGAATAGATTTCCTAAAACCTCAAACATGTTGAGTATGTTGCATAGTACACACTCATTAAGGGAATAGTTGTACTGAACCTGTTTGTGTCTTGCAATATCTTCAACACATCAAGCTAGTTTATGTAACTCAAAAGCACTCAGGATGGATTCTATTATTCTCGACCAGATGGTCTTTCTTACTTTTTAAATACAGAAGTCTAATCTAAGTGAGATCTTATTATAGTTTAAAATGAGATACTATGAGAGTTTATTTATTGGATTCAAATAATTTGGTTTTAGCTTTAAAGGTTACATACATCAGTAAAAATATAGAAATATTGAGAGGAATTATATTAACCAAAACTATGGACAGCCAGATTCAACAAGTGGTTAACATGGAAATCTATCACTGTGGGTGGGACTGGATCAAAATCTTGGGAATTTTTCAGGATATGTTGGGCTCCACTGGTCGCACCATTGTATGCCTGACTGAATCCATTACTACAAAGGCCTTATTACTACATGATTATGGGGGAATTTTAAAAAATCCAAAAATCACATTTTAAAAAATTTTATAACCACCAGACATATTTATGATGATGCATTATGATGAAAACTGTAGAATTTTTAGTTTATTTTGCAAAAACGGACAGAAACAGGGGACTTATTTGATAGACGGGTGCATTGCTCGGAAGTTTACGCCACCTAAGGGATTTTTTTTTCTCAGAAAGTTGAGCAATGTGGTGAAGTTGCAAGTTGAAATACTAGAATTAGTAAACTTGGCAGCATATTGTTTGTTTTTCATATTCAACAGCAATATGTACAGTACATGGGAAAGCCCTCTGTGAGATGGTACTCGATTTTTGGAAACCATGGCATTACCTAAATGTAATGAAAGTATTATTCTATAAGCAAGACACATAGACAATGTATTAATAATATGGAGACGGCAGCCCAATATTTAACAATGCCAACTCATTTGGATTAAAAATAAAATTACAGCAAGAAAGTGCCACACATGCAAACTCCCTGGATGTTCTGCTTTCACTAAAGGGAGGGGCTGTAGCCACAGATATTTATAGAAAACCACCTTACAACCTGCTTTTCATACCATGGATGTCCCATGATCTAATAAACTATAAACTAGTAGCATTCCTGGCTATCATCAGAAGAGCCCACATGCACTGCATGAACACAGAAGATAGAATATAAGAGCTGGAGTACTTTAAAACAATCAGACACCAATTTGGATTCAAACCTCAAACAATAGAGAATATGATCAAGAAGTGCAAGCTAGATAAGAAAGAGGTTCAAGGAGGAGACACACAGTCAGAATACATAGTGGTTGAATAATGGCACCTCTATGCAATATAAGCAAAAAGATAGTAGTAGTTATGGGGAAGAAAATTACTTACAAAAGAAACACCACTATATACAGACTACTGAAGAATTACAGAGCTTATCAATCCAACACACATTTCAGATGTATATTAAAAACTACTGCAGGACAGTAGGATTGAGCGAGACCTATACTACACAGGCACTACTGGGTGGTCATTGACATCAAGGATTAACCACATGCCGTCTAACTCGAGTTATCTCTAATAGAAGTCCAATACGGGCAGTTACATTTTAGGATTCTGAAGCATTAAGATTCTAAATGAAAATTGTTCCTTAGGAACTGCATTTAAAATGACTGAAAATGTTAGAAAAATTAAAATTTACACTGCATTTAAAGGTATGAGTGGTTGTTTTGTAGTTTATGACAAATTCAGTTTTACTGTACAGTATAAACTATCTAATTTCTCATGAGTTACCCACACAAAAATAGTAAAAAAAAAAAACAACATACAGTCGACCCCCCCCTATAACACGGTAGATACGTTCCTGTTTTTATGAATCCAGCTTCTAGGAGTCCAGCCAGTCACAGCCCGGCTCATATGCAGTTTACAGACTACGGCTTTTTGAAAGGTTTCTTCCATAAAATTAATCGATTCTAGACTAATTTGACTCAACATTTCCAAAATATGTATAATTTTTTGGGAATAATCCATATAAACTATGCTATAAACAAAAAATTGTAGGATTTCTTACCGAGTGTGCAATGTTTGACCTACGCCGTTGCTTGTTTTCGTCGTGGAGATTGTCATCAAATGGCGCTTCGCATGCTTCCTGATAAATTATTTTTTTTGCAAAAAATTCGCTGAGCTTTGGAGACATCGTTAATATAAATATAATTTTTATGGACATTAAATAATAAATGGTTTTTAGGAGGTTCGCTGCTTGTTTGAGCTCAACGGTTTGTGCAATCCTGTCGTAACACGAGTCAGCAATGACATTTTACCGAATTATAAGAGTTTTTTTAGTGTGTTTGTACGAATACTGTCGCAACTTTTTTGCCATGATATAGGAATCTGAACTATAGGAACCCGTGTTATAGAGGGATCGACTGTACATAAGTTATACAAAATATGAAGTATATTTTTAGTTTGCTCTTATTTATTTTACACATTTGAAGTCTAAGATAATTTGAATTGTATTTCACAATATGAAACAGTCTGCCCTTTATATCTGTTGGTTGTAATTGCCCTTCAGATTTCGCTGGCAGACAAAATCAAAATGCAGAAAATTAATTTTTAAGTATTTTAATTGATAAAATTGGAATTGTTAAAGAATTTGCTGCAATATTTTGATTAAAATTTATGATTTTAGCTATAATTTGGCTTGTGTATTCTAGGAAATTCTTGTCTCATACTTGGACGAATGTATGCGCAACAGGAGTAGGCACAGTCGAATAAAATTGCTGAGGTCAGTCTTTGTCTTTAAATTTAATGAAATTTTTCAAGAAATTTATGTAATAATTTTTGCTTTTTTACAGGGAAAATTATTTATTCACATGCACATGTCCCAAGTGCGAGGCTCAGATGGACGATCCCGACATCACCAGCGACGATGACGAGAACATGGAGGAAGATAATATAGACCACTCGCATCAATGAATAGCTGCCTTTTTGCACCCTGCAAAGTTTCTTACATAGATTTTAGTCAAAATGTGATTTTAAAGTGTTTTGTCGTACAAATTATGCAATTGAAGTGCCAATGTTATACAATTCAAATTTTTAATTCATTCCATTCAAGAAAGTTACAATCTGTAAATATGCGTAATTTTTCATTTGTAGAATTTTCAGTTTACATCTCATCATTGTTAGTTTTTATTGTATATAAGCATTGTGTAAGATATATTTTTGTTTTTTAATACATTTTTAATGTATAGACCAATTGTTGGAATTAGTAAATATGAACATTTTTCTTGTTTTATTCTTGTGTTTTATTTATAGTCAACAATCTGGGGACTTCAGTTGAAAACTCCCAGAAGAACAATGCATTGGATACAGGCTTGTTTCCCCCATTGTGGATCTGATGAGCCTGCAGTAATCTTGGACAAAAGGTCCTTTAGTATCCATGATATAGGGCTATTGAAAAAAAAAATCATTTTATATACTGGTCAACAGTTATGGATTCCTGCCATAATTGACGAAATTCTAGCTGTCATAGCTCTGCATTGACTAATTAATTCCATCTACTACTAGAGTAGACTGGATTGGAATCAGAAGAAACAATTTAGATTTTTTTGTGGTCGGGTTTTTCCCAGATTTATTGGGCTCTGCTCCTTATCACTTGGCCACCCCATGATGGATATTGGGAAAACCTCATAGGGCTGACAGTTGAAAATGGAGATTTGGTGCAAGAACTATAATAAGCCAAAGATATATTCTATTTTCAACAGTGTTTATTATTATTTAATAACAATGTTTATAAATATAATGACAGACTGATTATTAATGATTGGATCCAAAGTACAAGAGAAATTTTTTAAAATGGTTCTGATAAAAAAAAATAGCACAAAATTATGAAATTTGCCAAATCAATAACATTTGGTTTTTTTCCATGAATGTATCCAGCCATAAATGCATTTAAGTATAGTTATAAGGCAATATCTGTTTTTATTACAACCTTTGCATTCATAAAACTTGTGGTTGAGTTGATCAAATCACTTGAACCCTAGTAGTGTTGCAGGATCAATGGGCTGGCCACTTGAAGTTTACTTCATGTGTCCAACATTACATAATGCCAGTTTCCCATAAAAGTCCTCCCAAGAGATACCCTCCTTTATAGATTACCCATGTTATATTGCCTTATACCATTAAAACTTCTTTAGAGTTGCAACCATCTCATTTGAAAATGTATAGGAGATATGTTCTTTAATACAGCTGGAAAAGCAAACTGAGAGTCTATTTCATTTGAAATAGGCAGTTATCTGGTTGTTTTAAAGCTGCTCTACTAGGCAACACACCTATGTTCTAAATATAACTTGGAACAAATTCAATTTTGCTATTGTTTATATCATAATTATACATTTGTCTTCCATCTTTTATGATTTACCATTCTACGACTTGATTTAAAATACTTCCAACATTGCATGTTTTTCCAGATGACAAACTCTTCACATTCAGAATAATTTCAAAAGCTATACATAAATTGATAGCTAGATAATCAAAGCAGTTAATGCATGTGACTGAGGGACTATTTCTGATCAGATCCTCAGAAATTTTTGTAGATGGACCATCTCTTATCATTAGAACATTCTATCAAAGGTCTGGCAAATGATAGCTTGACTAGTTGATAGCTTTACTGTTTCCATACTACTACCTTTGTTTTAAACTTAAATGGTTTCTGAAAATAGTAGTATAGTTAAATTATAAATAACTCCAAACTATACACACTAATAAATTATTTCCTACAACATATTTTATCTTACAATTATTAAAATCTTATCCTTTATAATGGTATGATAGTATATTCAATGGCAGAATGAGGGCAGATGGTAATTATACAGATCTAATTTCAAATATGTTTATTGTTGTGAAGTACATCTGAAGAACATAAACCGATGCACATGCTCTTAGCTAAAAATTCAATATAAATATGTAAAAATCATATATTTTCCAGAATGTTTGATTTATTTAAATTAATAAAACTTATACACATCTCTACAAATTAAATTTTATGCACAAACTATTCCCAAAATGGCAAATATGGGCAAGTAATTTAATGTCCGACTCAAGGTGACCCAAGCTTGCTTCCGACTATAAACACTGAGGCTTCAGGAGGAACACGAACATAACAAAATCTACTTTGAGACTGTAAGAACCAGATCATTATTCACAATGTCCTTCTTACAATGTTATACATCTAAAAATATATAAAATTTATAATATTTATTTGTAATATATATGTTATAATATAACCTGTATTACTTCAAGTATGATTAAAGTATGTAGCAAAATATGCTACATTTTACATACATTCATTAATATATCCTGTCAACTGATTAAAAGATGTTAACACCTTTTAATCAGTTTTTAAATTATATACATAAATTATATTTTTACCTTTGTATTTTATGTTTAAAGTTTATTATAAAGAAAGCTATAATAATTAATATAGGTCTTCGTTATTTTTCAATACTCTCACTTCATTAATTAAATACTAAATACAAACATTGATTCCAAATTTCCAACAGATATTCAAAATTCAGAAAGTAAATGTGCTTGTCACATTTCTGCTTTCTTATCTCTAACACTGACATATATATTATTCCTAATATAAAATCTAAGGAATTTATTTGCCCATTCCTCTCCAGCACTATCGATCCCAATGCGTTTACTCCGAACGATGTCCTCGTCACCTATGTCTTCGCAGTCTTCCGCCCATAGTCTATCACTAACGGTCATGTCATCTTTATTTAATAGTTTTGTCACATCTAAAGCCATGCATAATTTAGAGGGTCCGTTGCATAATTCTTTATTTTTTAATTCTTTTCCGTTCGGTCTCTTTTTAGTCCGGTAAGCTCTCATGGTCTCGAATCCCCATAAGGGCTCTAGCGATCTTATTAAAACAGCAGCACCTTCTCCGTCACTCGAAATATTGAGACAATAGTACATTCCATAAATCGTATAGACGTAAGCCGTGCCAGGTTTCATAAACATGGCTTCGTTCCTCTGCGTCTTCTTCCCTTTATATGAATGACAGGATTTGTCTTCAACACCGACATAACTTTCCGTCTCTACAATCTTTCCTTTCAACACTTCTCCAGTATCCAGTTTCCTACATATCACCTTTCCAAGTAATTTTTTTGCCAAGTCTTCACATGGAATATTATAAAAAGAATCTTTTAGTCTGGAAGCATTGTTTTTTAACTGTATACTTGCAGATTCAGTCTCATTGTTTGTGAAATATGGACTCTTACTTACAGAAGCATCAGACACATTTGAATTAGAGGTTACTTTTCTTTTGACACTCATTTTGACTTTGTCATTAATTATATGAAGCATTAAACTATGCACCTAGCAATTTACTCTTTATATTATTGTTTTGAGGTTCTTTATATTATATTCTTAGTAACTTGAGCACATTATAAAGCTCTCAATAGTTGCATTGTTAGCATTCTCTCACTTGATAGATCTATTTTTCACAATTCTTCCTTTTAAAACAATTCACATAACTTATAATGTAATAACTTATAATATTTACATTGTACATTATTAAGAATCGGTTATTATTCAATCGCAGCCATGAATTACATCTTAAAATTCATTTATGTTAATCAATTTTAACGACACCGAAAGCAATCAACATGTCGACAGCATGCCATTGTTTACACCCGTTCTAACGCCCTCTAGTTTTTAAAATTAACAATACATTTAATAAATTAGTAACATGAGAATTATTAAATATTTTAATAATTAATTATAACTTATAAATAAGCATTTAATTTTTAGTATATTAATAATTTTTTTTAATTTTTATTACTCTTATAAAAATAATTAGTTAGGTCACCTATCAAGGTATTATCCAGTTATTATAAAATAATATTTATTTAAATAACTTAATTATTAATTATTGAAAATATTAATAAATTAATTAACAGTTATTTTAATTATGGGACAAAATAAAAAGGAAAAAAAATAATCCTAACGGCAGTTTTGTAAACTAATTAGAGTCGCCATTTTGAATTTTGAAAGTAGTTAAGTAAATTTTTTGGTTTTTATGAATTTAAGAACATATTTAGGTTTATTAAATATTAAGATTTACGTTTAAATAGTTCTAAATAGTTAACATTTATGAAATTATATTTAATTTGCAGAATTTATGTAAAAAGTTATTCTAAAAGTAGGCCTAATTTTGAAATACTATCTTATAAAAAAATTCCACAATTTATAAATTATTATTGATTAAAAACTTAATTTTATAAACATTTAATTTATTTTAAATGGAAATATATTGATTATTTATACTGTATAAAATATTTCATATAGGTTTTTTGCTAAATTGCAGGTTTGAATGAGTTGATGGTCACGTGTCTATAGGAGTAAAAAAGTCAAAGGAACCGTTGGTGTACAGTACGTATGACCTTTCGCAAGATCCTTAGAAATCAGCTGTTTTCCACTTTACTAGAGACGGTTAAACACTCATAAAACACGAAAAATTCCATTTGCAACGACTACTTCCGGGCTACCTATATACTCTATACTAATGATACCAATATACTACACCTACACTACTACCACATTCCAAATATAAATGTAGTGTACAGTATAGAGTATGTAGATACCCCGGAAGTAGTCGTTGTAATGGCGTTTTGTGTTTTATCAGTTCCGTCTCTAGTAAAGTGAAATCAATGATGTAGATGTAACCCTTCGACCATTGATTCAACCTATGGTCTACACCAGTGTTTCCCAACGTGGGACCCATGCCCCACTGGGTAGCAATTGGATCATTAAGGGGGCAATTCGAAAATGGACTCGTCTGGAGTTAACCGTATAGACGCTGTATATGTTAGGGGGGCATAAGAATTTTAGACAGGCTTAGATGGGACATAGCACAAAAAAGGTTGGGAAACACTGGTCTACACGAAACCCTTCGCTATATTTCGCGAAGAGTCATTGATTCTTTTGACTTTTTTATTCCTTTGGCATTGGGTCTACAGTAGGGTTTCTGAAACGGGATTCCGGGATCCCGGTTGTTTTTTTAACCCGGGAAATTTTTCTTATCCCGGGAAATCCCGCAAATTTCTTAAAAATTCACTTTTTTTCTTATTTTGTGTTAAGGTTGAGGAGTTTTGCAAATAGAAAGCATAATTAACTCATTCACTGCCAGAATACATTTGTATTTATTAATTTTAAACCTACCTATTAGTTTTTTTAAATTTTTGCTCGTTATAGCATGTCACAAATGGTCAATAATCAATATATAGCTTATTTGTGGCATGACTATAAAAATTCTTTACTTGTCGGAACCTGTAATATCTGGAATAATTGTGCTTACGCTGTCTTGAGTTTTAACCATGCCCAG